TTATAAAAATAAGCCTTTAAGAACAATGAAGAGTACTTCTGGAGTATGAAATGCGTATCATTAATAAGTTGGTTTTGATACTGAGAGGTTATCTTGTTAATGGTTGGGATATCTGCATAGATTATCAGAAGATTATCAGAAAGAATGAGCACTAATTTCTATGTCTATTTTATAGTCATATGCTAAAGTTCCACTTAGTTCATATCCCAGGAGGCAAAACCAAATTAGAATGAAATGTCATGCTGTATTTCACTGCTTATATGCATTAATAATGTATTGCTGCTGGTAATTTATAACTATTCTGAAAGTATGTTTTTTTTTAAAAAGTTTACATATATATGAAATTTCTGATACATATATCAATGCAAATTATACCAGTTTCTAACTTTTTTGCAGACTTGTCCTCAGTTCTGTCTCTGACTATTTTGCTGCCATGTTTACAAGTGATGTTTGTGAAGCCAAGCAAGAAGAGATCAAAATGGAGGGCATAGACCCCAATGCACTGTGGGATCTTGTTCAGTTTGCATATACAGGTATTGTACTGCATACATTATCTTAATCATCCAGAATGCTTATTTATCATTTCTAGGGGTGAATTCAGATTGTTTTCTCTTATCTCCAAGTTGTTAAATATGTCAGACTTGGCAAGTACAATAGGACAGTCAAGAAAATTATGTATTTTTCTTGGTTTTCAAATACTTAAAAAGAGTGCTTCATATGCACATAATTCAGATGACGTAAGATCACTGAAGGAACTGCAGTATTTTTTTAAGAATAGCCCTATATTACTGTCTTAATCAAATATCAGTTTAAACAATTGCATAAATCTTTTAAAATTTAAAATAAATGTTTTAAAAGGTTTTATTAGGAGCTGGATGTTGTCATGTTATAGGCTAGTACTCTGTTGTGTAATGTAAACTTATGAATAACAGACAACTCAGAGTTAATAACTCTAAGCTTTCTTCTGAATAGTTTTTACATTTTACTGCATTATAGCTTTGGGTTTTATCCTTCTTAAGCAACTTGTTATGCACAATCTAACTGAAGTGCATTAATAAGAATACTAATGTTACAAAGTAAAGTAATTAGAAAAGAGGAAATGCCAATAAGAAGGTTTTTCTTTCCTTGACTTGAATCATATAAATATAAAATAGATGTTGTTTTCTATTTGTTTCCTGAAAGACATCCTTATATTGTTTAAATTAACAGTATTTTATCATGATGATTCTGTTGTATATTTGATTTAGCTTCAATTTTAAACGGATACCCCAATCCCTTCACTTTTAGTTTTCTATAAATACACACATAATAATTTAATCACAAATTGCTGTTTGCTTTGATATATTTAATCAGGATATGTGCTGGGTTTTTCATGACATAATAGTTTTACCATCTTAACAGGAAACAGAAACTGCAAATAAATATAATTTAAGTTAAAATCGCTCTTTTTGAGACTAATGTTTGACATTCTAGGAATGTCAGACCACCATTTAATGTAGCTCAAAGGTGCCTACTTCCTTTAGTTATAGTTTTGCCATTCAGGAGTGTACATTATCCAGAGGGTTCCAAGCTAGGAATCCATGAAATGAAGAACATGTAAGTAGTTCTTAGGAAACATAAGAAGGATACAATCTGATTCCTTGGCAGAAGAATACTGGGGCAAAATCAAGAATACTTTGGCACAGAATAGCAAAAGACCTTACTGGTAATGTTAAATCATTTTGTAAGAGGAAGGTAGAAGAAAGAGGCAAGAGGAAGATGAGGGACAGTGTTGTTCCCCTGGGAACCATGGAAATACTCAAGTACTGCATGATTTTTGTACTTCAGTTTTCACTAAAAGATCTAAAGGAAATGTGCAGCACAGTTGTTATTGACAACAAAAGGCAGCATGTAATTTTAGATTAAGAAAAGGAGATACAGAAGAAAGAAACAATAAAAACCTTTCAATATGAGTGAAGCTATCTCAGAACTTTATGGTTATGTCTGAGAACTTTGGAGACTGGATGAGGCAGTGAAAAAGTAGGAAAAGTGAACTCCTGCATTTTTTCAGCCACTTTACACTCTTTGATTTGTCTATGCCTTGTGATATACTCTATTTTATGAGGTGAATAACTTGGAAGTTTCTTTTTGGTGTTAGGTAAATAAAGATCAGCCTTCACAAATGGATGAAAAGAGAACTCAGCTAGGGTACTTGTTTTCATATTTGCCTCATGTGAATTTGGATCTGCAATATTTTTTCATTTATACAGTCACACAAAGTCCAAACTATGTGAGAAATGGCAGCCTTACATGCTGTTGTAACATCGCTTCCAAGAATTAGAAACTTAAGGTGATATCCAAGGTGTCTAATTTCTGTCACTTGTAGTGGTAGTACACTTATCCTTTTTCTTCCTAACCTCTTTTAGAGACCAAATAAGACTTAAAAAATATATTCATAAGTTTACACTTGCAAATTTCAAAAATACTTGCTGACAATAGAAGAGTGATGAGATTTAGGAAATGTGAGACTATTTTATATGTTAAAAGAGTACTCTTATTGGATGCCATGGACTGTTCTGGTTTTTATTACTCTGTCTTGCATTTCTCTTCCATCAGGTTCTTTGTGCTGACTTACTCTGATTTATCCTTATTTATTCTTAGCTTATATCCTTATCTCTTGAAATTCATGTTGGTTTCTTTCTTTCCCTGTTCCTTTTCTCTGCATCAGATGTCTTAGCAGGCACCTAAATTTCCTAGCTACAATTACACTAGTAAATTAAACATGCGAGGGAACATTTGAAGGCACTGGAACACAATTATCTGTATTGATCCTGGCAGTTTTAGCCAAATCCATCTAGCAATCTTTTTAACAAATATTGGGTATAGCTTGGATATACAGTCTCATCATTAATGCTCATCAGAGCCTTTAAAAGTGCTATGGAGAATTCAGTGATAACTCACATGAGCAGGCAATTCCTAGAAAATGGTCCCAAACTTATTCAGTTTATTGAAACTAAATATAGTTTTTGCTTCTCAGTTAATCATTCTATTTTCCCTTGACCTTGCCAGATCAAAACCTGTCATTTCTCATTTTTTATCTAGCTTCACAGTTTCTTATCTCTTTTCTTACCCTCTGATTTCTTTTTTACTACCAATCTAGTTCATGTCCTCTTTTCCTGTGAGTCAGTTCACTTTCCTTGTGCTGGATGGATGTGGACAAGGGGAACACTGAAGAGTTAAGAAAATAGCCACTGTTCTGATACCCAGTAGCAGCCAACAGAAATTCTCTTTCAGCCTCTTGATCTATAACCTGGAGCATAGATTTGTCTAGACATAGACAGAATATTTGGAGAATCTGGCTGCCAAATTCCATTTACTGACTGCACAACTTATGAAAAACTTTTTAGCTACTGATTTCTGTGACCAGTTTAGCTCTTTATTCTTTTACCTCAGGAACAGCAAACTATTTTGACAAATTGGAAGTTATTCACTCTTCTTTTTTATTTTTCCTGCCACTTCCTCCTTAGCTCAAGAAGATTAAAAAACACCAACAAAAAAAAGGATTTCACATATAGTTGCTACTGTTACAGAGAAGTTTTTCCCTGGAGACAACTGAACATTTCAGAAAAAATACAGCTGAACATGGGCTTGCTTGCAAAAATGTAGAAGTTAAGGGTATTACAATGCAAATATGTTGAGATGGGATTTAAAAAAGGGAACCATTTCCACATTTAATTAACTGTAATTCAGTCAGGTTTGTATTTTTTTTTAGAATCTGATGAAATTTATTTCATTTTTAATTAGGAGTTCAAGACGGATAAAATATGCATATCTATGAAAAGTATCATTATAGATAGAAAAATCCTGAACTGATACCAGACCTGGCAGCAATATAATCAAATACTGTTGCAAAATATCAGAATTAAAGTTCTGTAAAAGGGAGGTTTTGTACATCAGAAACCTGAGGAAAGATAGGTATATTGTTCTGAAATGAGAGTTGTTAACATCTGCTGTGCCCATCATGGGTAATTCTCCCATTGTGGTGAGTTTACCTTGGCTGGACACCAGGTATAACCAGGGTTATACCAAAGCTGTACTATCACTCCCCTCTTCAACTGAGGAGAGAAAATATGAGGAAAACTCATGGGCTGAGATAAGGACAGGGAGAGATATGACTCACCAATTACCATTGCAGTCAAAACAGTCCTGACTTGGAGAAATTAATTTATTGCAAATCAGATCAGAGTGGAAAAATAAGAAGTGAGAACAAATCTTAAAATACCTTACCCCACCTATCCCATCTTCCCAGGCTCAGCTTCATTCCCCATTTTCTCTTCCTCCTCCCCTTCAGTGGCACAGTGGGGACAGGGAATGGGGGCTGTGATCAGTTCGTCACACACTGCCACTCTTTAGTCCTCAAGGAGAGGACTCCTCACACTTTTCCTGTGCCACCATAGGGTTCTTCCCACAGGAAAAAGTCCTCCATGAACTTCTGCAATGTCATTCCTTCCCATGGGCTACCGTTCTTCACAAGCTGCTCTTGCATGGGTTCCTCTCATGGGGTGCAGCCCTTCAGGAGCAGGCTGATCCATCATGGGTCCTCCTGTGGGGTCACAGGTCCAGCCAGCAAACCTTCTCCAGTGCAGCCTCCTGTCTTCACAAGTCCACAGGTCCTGCCAGGAGCCTGTTTCAGCACAGGCTTTGCATGGGGGTCACAGCCTCCTTTAGGAATCCACCTGCTCCGATGTGGGGTTCTCCATGGGCTGCAGGTGGATATCTGCTCCTGCCCTGATATCTACCTCCATGGGCTGCAGGGGCACAACCTGCCTCACTGTAGTCTTCACTATGGGCTCCACTGTCATCTCTGCTCTGATGCTTGCTGCACCTCCTCCCCCTCCCTCTACATGTCTTTGGTGTATGTAGGGCTGTTTCACATATTCTCATTCCTCTCTTCTTGTGCTGCGATTTTCTTCTGCACAATAACTGTTTTTTCCTTCTTATCCCAGAGGTGCTACCACCATCACTGATGGGCTCAGCCTTGGCCTGCAGCGAGTCCATCATGAAGTTTGCATTGACTCTGTCAAACATGGAGTAGACTTCCAGGAGCTCCTCAGATAAACCACCCCTGTAGCTCTCTCACCACTACCTAAAACCTTGCCACACAAACCTAATACACCCTACAGAGTAGAGACTACATTTATTTTCAAGATGTCTCATTTTTTAAGATAATGTTGTGTGTCTTTATTATTAAGAGCAATTTCTTGTATTGATATTGAGCCTTTACAAAGTCTTAACAAGTAAAGAAATAACTAAATAATATCTCAATGGGAGACCAAGTAGGTAGGTAGCAACTTTGGCAAATTTCATTTAGAAAAAAACAAAAAAACAACCTAACACAAAAAAGGTGTATATTATCTCTTTGCCAATTATGTGAAATCAGGATATTACTTACTTTGCAAAGGATAACAAACATTTTAAACTCTAATCAACTTCAGGAAGAGCTTGCCATCTTTGAGAAATCAGCATATTAAATAAAGCCAGTCATTTTTTTTAG